TTTTGTTCGAGAAAAGTTTGAGAAGAGAAGAGGGTATCGCGTGCTAAGATAAAGTGAATGAAATTTCAATCTCCCGCTCAAACTTTTATTGAATTCACTAACCTTTTGACGTCGAATTTAAAAGACATTCGGCATTTTATATCCTTTTAAGTCGAATTAAAATTATAAACGACGTTTAATAATTGCATTTATTTACAAAATACCAAAAAAATAAAAATAAAAACTAAACTTTGTTGTTTTTTTGCTTTTCAGGTCTCGTAAAGTTGTAAAAAAGGATCACAATTAATTAAAAAAACAAAAAAAAATTATTAACATCGAATGTTAACAAAATTCGACGTTAAGTTAACGTCGGATTTTTTAAATTCGACGTAAATTTAACGTTGTACGCGATTTTTGTACTAATGATAACAAACATTAGTGTGATTTTGTGAGAACCTAAGAGTAATTGACAACCTGTATTGGAAAAAGAAATAGGTTGATCTTAAGAACCTGGTAATTTTCTTTTTGAATTTTGTTAATCTGAATTGATGATTTTTTAAGTTTGTTGATAATTGTATGGGAAAAAGACAAATCATGATGTGAAGAAGCTAAAAACTCTTTTGAATTTTGTGAACATCAATTCATGTTTTGTTTTGTATGTTTGTTTTTGTTTTTTTTTTTCAGATTTTTTTTTTTCAGTTTTTCGAACTGATATCTATATTTTGTCCATAGAAATATTAATTTTTTTTAAGTTTTTGAAATTTATATATATATATATATATATATATATATATATATATATATTGTCCATTAAAATATTATTATATGAAAATTAATGTTTTAAATTAAATTATATAATTTTAAATCATTTCACGGTCACATAGTTATGTAATTTTTAATCTTGAATTTAATTAAATTTAAATAAGAAAGACTTCACCCTTTTTTGAAGTTTACATTACAATTATAAATTTATAGATTTATAGATATCTATTGTTTTTGTTATATTTATAAATTAATTTATAAATTTGTAATTAATTGATAGAAGTAATGAATTTGTATTTAAAGTGCGAAATAAGTGATAAATTTGTAGTTAATATTTCATTCAATATATTCTAAAAGGACAATATCTATAACAACATAAAAGAAATACGAACATTGTTTTTCTTGTGCAACAAGCAATAAATACATATTATTATATTAATTAATTATAATTATTATATATATAAGTTAACATTAATTAGTTAACAATATCAATGAAACCATCAATTTGGACTGCCTCCATACTTTGAAAACAGACTTTGAATGTTGAAAACAGCCTCGATTTCGGCTGTCTCCATCCTGCAAGCAGAGTTTGAAAAATTACACTATCAGAACCACGGTCGCAGCAAATGGGAAAGTTTATCTCATGATATAGTTCATATTTTCATTCATATAATGTCCAAAATTAATATATAATTTTCATCTATGTAGTAAGATATTTATTACATAAAATATCTTAGATATTTTATTTATTACATAAAAATATTTTAGATATTTTAAACAGTTAAGTAACTAATCACATTTTTAGGTAAGGTAGTTATTTTTATTTTGCTTATAAATACAGTAACAGGGCAAAGGTTCAGGTACGTTCTCTTTAGGTTCTAGAGACCCTGAATAATATTTCAGAGCAGTATCATAATCACTCTCTTGAGAGCTAAGGCTCCATAACTCACATTTGACTTGAGCGTCGGAGTATCTTTGCAGGTACCTCCCCCTCCTTTGGCGAGTATGAACAACAACAATTGGAGAAGAGCAAGCGTCCCAGCAAGCGTCCCAGACAGCCAGGAGCAATAAAGACACACCGGACAACTTGTACACCGAAACATTTTGGCGCCCACCGTGGAGCCGAGTGCAATCCCAAAGAAGCCACAAGAGGAGCCTCGGCCTCGACGAATCATTTCTTCGGATAAAGCTACTCCATCAAGATGAAGCCTCCGCATCACCGCCAGGAATCTCCTCCGCGAGCCATTGACCCCGCACCGTGAGCACCTCTGCGAAATCGTGCCAGTGAGCACCTAAGCAAAATCACACCCCTTTTGCGGGTCAGATCCAGCGCAAAAACATATCTGTTCTATAGGCTCGTACCTCTGTATCCTTAAGTTTTAAGGAGTCAGGAACTGAAATCTGGTGGATGAACAAACACTCTGTGATCAGAGCGTGATTAATGGCAAGATGATCTTCTCTTCCGTTTAGTGAAATCCCTAGCTGAAGAGGATCGTTTCTCAGCAGGCGCAGGAAAAAGTGGAACCCTAAATTCCCAAACTTAGAGACAAGCCCTTTCGGCGCCTCCAAGTCCGCCGCATTTTCCGACCTATCTTCCGCGTCTTCCGCAGCACCCACGGCATCCACGTGCCGTTTTGTTTCTGAGTGTACCTTACTTTGAAAGAGGGACCAAATTGTACCTTACTTTGAAAGAGGGACGAAAACCAGAAACGACCAATAGTTTAAGGACTAAAAACATATTTAACCCTTTAAAATATCATTTGAAAAACACAACCAAGAACAATATAAAAAAAATAAATAAAAAATGTGGACTAAAAAAAATGTGGACTATTTTTCTTTTTATAAAAATAAACACTTACATTTTGGGTGAATATTAAATATTCTTATTTAGTGATAGACAATTTGTACAGAAGCTATAATTGTATAATTTTCATTCCCACCGATCACAATTCACCTATTGTGAGATTTGGTTCAACACAAACCCTAACCAAATAAAAACGTAAACAACAACTGAACAAATAAAACAATATTAACGTGGAGAAGGAGCCCATCCTAAAAGTGGGGCAGCTAATTTATTCTAGCGAGTAGTGAGGGCTAAGACCCTCGCTAAAGTTTTATTTTAAAAGAAATATTATTGCTTCCGTGGGCTAAGGAAAATTTACAAGATTACCGATAATCTATGCTAGGGTTTTCAATCTTGCCAAAAACGACGACAATGCTAGCTACAACGGCGACAATGCTAGCTACAACGGCGACAATGCTGCCATTTGGGAAGCATGCGAGACAAGTAGAGATTGTAAGCATTGGAGAGTCTTGGAGAAAAGGGGAAAAATAAGTTTGGCACAAGAGAGTGGAGAGCATCAGAGAAGAAGGGAAACCAGTTTAGAGAAGATGGAAAATAAGCTTCGCACACACATTTTACCAAATATGAAAAACGCATAACACGAGAGATGGAGGCGCTGATGTTCTACGCGACTGAGACTGAGAGAAAAACAACAAGTTTAACTTTGCTCTTTCCCTCTCTATACTTTTACATTGCAAGTTGACAACCATTGTCCACTACAAGTGTAAGCATCTATATGGCAACCCTCAAGCCAAATCTAATAGAAACAAGCCATGTAGTTCACTGTTTTGAAGCGTGGAATTTTGGTTGTGGGGAATGGTGACTAGTGCAGTCAAGGGAAACTATAACGATTATTTTCGTCTATAGACAGTGGTTCATGAACCGAGGCATATACAGGCAAAGCAAAAAGTCTACCGCTTTTTGCCTCGGATCAAAACCGAAGCAAAAGAAATAGGATTTTGCCTCAGGTAACCGAAGCAGTAGAGTTTTTCCTTTTTTTTTTGACAGATTTTCTCCTCGATTCCTACTGAACCGAGGCAGTATGTGAGCCTTATTGGCTCGATTGGGACATGAATTGAGGCAATATAATGTTTTTTATTTTATTTTTTTACTTTTTCGCCAGCCTTTTGCCTCGGTTGTGACTTGGACCCATGCCATAGAGGATTTTCTGCCTCGATTATGGTCACAACCAAGGCGTATTCTCTCCCTCCCTTTTTTTAAGAACATGTTTGTTTCTACAACATTCCCAACTGTAGAAACAAACCTGCATATATTTAATAACCAGAATAGTGTAGAACAATTCAGAAGCATATATTTTCAATAAAAATTATTAAAACATAAATTCATTCAATGTAATCGTAAATCAACTTCTTAGAAGCATAAATCAATTCAATGTAATCATAAATCAACTTAGAAGCATAAATCAATCTAATGTACAAATTTAAACTAATAATAATGTACAAAAGCATAAAACAACTTAGAAGCATAAACTTATAACTTACTATATCCTAATATCTACTACATACTATTATACATTTGAATTATATATTTAGCAAGTGTTTTCCTTATGTGTTTAAGTGACTTCTCTGGAATTGAAGTAGTAAAATTGAATCTCTGCATAAAACACAATAATTTCAATTAGTGTATATCAAATCTAAACTATAGAGAAAATAAAATTGAAACCAAAATATTACCATTTCCCATCCACTAGTAACATGTGCACGAATAATGGTCATCATCTAATACATGATGTAGTAACCACACTCTGATAGGTTTAGTGGCCAGGTTTATGTGAGAAGAAATAGAGGAGGTAGGTAGTTATAACTTCCTAGTAGGTAGTTATAACCTCCTGCAGTTGTGTGTGTAATTATCTTTTATATTTTCTTTATGTTAGATGATAGTAAGTAGTTTTTAATGGGTTGTAAAAGGAAAATTAGGGAGAGACCGGTCCTCTCGAAAGACCTGGAGCATTGTATGTTGAAGTTCTTCTGTTTTTATCACTTGGGCATAACAGTTGCGGTGTTCTAATTAAGTTATTCAGACTAATTTATTTATTCAACTATCTAGTGAATTCTGGATACCTATATCAAATTGGTATCAATAGCCTCTTTCTTGGTACTGTGAGGGCGTGTGGGGAGTATGGTGAATACAAGAATGGAATCTAGATTAGATGTTGTGGACAAGATGCTGCAGGAATTAATCCAGGATAAGGACAGACAGGAAAATCAGTCTCATGAGCGCTTCCAGCGTTTGGAGGACTGATTAGAGGCTTAACAGCCGTGGTTGAATCGCTGTCTTGTAGTGCTACAAAGGGTGAAACTGCTTCAGTGATGAATGTTGGTCAAGGGTCACGTTGGGAAGAAGAGACAAGTCATCATTTGTCTTCCTCAAAATGGAGGAAACTGGACATTCTTGAACGTTATTTTCGATTGAAGGAAGTTAATGACGAGGAACGCATGCAGGCAGTCATAGTTGCTTTGGAAGGGAGGGCCTTAAATTGGTTTCAGTGGTGGAAAACTTGCAATCCAAATCCTATGTGGGAAGCATTCAAGGTGGCAGTTGTTCGTTGTTTTCAACCCATGATGCTTCAGAATCCTTTTGAAATTCTGATTGGCTTGCGCCAATCGGGGTTGGTGGAGGAGTATGTAGAGAAATTTGAACAATATGCTGGGTTTTTGAAGGGAATTCATCAAGATTATTTGGTTGGCATTTTTTTGAATGGGTTGAAAGAGGAAATCAAGGCTGAAGTTAAGTTGTATGAACCTAGCACTCTTCCAAAGTTAATGATGAAGGCTCAAATGGTGGAGGCAAAGGTTCGAATCATCTCAAAAGGTGGCCCTTTCCATGTTCAACGCAATAACAATGTCTCCAAAACTATTTCAATGACTCGCAGTTATTCAAAGGACGGGGGCAGGTCACTAGGCTATAATAATTCCAGCAGTGGTCGGGGGGACAACAATGCTTCTTTAGGAACGTTTCGTAGTGAAAATCAGTCAAATCGAGCACCTTTTCGGAAATTGTCTAAGGAGGAAATACAGGATTAGATTAAGAAGGGTTATGTTTCAAGTGTGATGAGAAGTTTGGTCCAAGTCATATTTGTCGAAATAAACAATTGCACATGTTGCTTATGTTTGAGGAGGACTTATCTGGACTGATACCCTTCAACCTCCTATTGATATTCAAGAGGAAGGGACAAAAGAGATAGGTCAGATTTTACAATTATCTCAATGTACCATGGCGGGACTTACAACCAGGAAGTCTCAGAAACTTTGGGGGACGATTGGGCATGAGAAAGAAGTGGTTTTGTTGGATTGTGGAGCCTCACACAGTTTTATTTCACTAGATCTGATTGCCAGATATGGGTTACATCAAGAACCCACTCTTCCATATGTGGTAGAGGTGGGTGATGGACATAAGGTGCATTGTTAGAGGAAAAGTCATGGTTTTATTCTAGAAGTACAAGGCCTAAAAATTCAACAAGAATTTTTTGTTTTCATATTGGGGAGTGCGGATGTTATCTTGGGCTTAGAATGGTTGGCTTGTCTAGGTGAGGTAAGGGCTGATTTTGGTAATTTACGATTAACAATTGGTAAGGGGAACGACAAGCACATCCTTGTGGGTGATCCCACTCTTGCCAAATCAGAATCTTCTTTGAAAAAGTTGGTGCGTGATTTTAAGAACAGCGACTCATGTTATGTAATTAAATGGGACCAAGAGAAGGAAGAGAATGGTAGTACTGTTCCTATACAACTTCTTCCCATTTTAGAGTCCCATAATGACCTTTTTCAAGATCCAGTTGACCTTCCTCTCAGTCGCCTTTATGATCATGCTATACATCTTCATGAGGGAGCATCTATTCCTAATCTTATGCCCTACAAATACTCTCATCAACAAAAGAATGAGATTGAACGCTTAGTCAACAAAATGTTGCAGGCGGGAAACATCAAACCAAGAATCAGTCCTTATTTAAGCCCCATCATATTTGTCAAGAAGAAAGATAGAGGGTGATAATTTTGTGTAGACTATCGGGCTCTCAATAAGATCACTATTCCCAACAAATTTCCTATTCCTGTCATAGAGGAATTGTTGGATAAGTTGGCTAGTGCAACCACATTTTCAAAATTGGATTTAAAATCTGGTTATCATCAAATTCTCATGAAAGAGGAGGACATTGAAAAGACTGCTTTTCGCACCCATGAAGGCCATTATGAGTTTTTGGTTATGCCTTTTGGCTTGACTAATGCTCCAGCCACTTTTCAGGCTTTAATGAATCAAATTCTTAAACCATTTTAAAGGAAGTTTGTCCTTGTTTTTTTTATGACATACTGGTTTATAGCCCTACTATGGCTACTTATGTCACTCATCTACAGGAGGTTTTAAAGTTGTTGCAGTGTCGTCATTTAAAACTTAATCGTAAGAAGTGTATATTTGGCCAACTACAATTGGAGTATTTGGGTCACATTGTTTCCAAGGATGGTGTGGCTGCAGAGTTTCCTGCTTTTCACCTTGAGGACAAGGTGAAACTTCATGGAGGGGGTATTGATAGGTTTAGTTGCCAGGTTTTATGTGAGAAGAAATAGAGGAGGCAAGTAGTTTATAAATTCCTAGTAGGTAGTTATAACCTCCTGTAGTTGTGTTGTTTAATTATCTTTTACATTTTCTTTTATGTTAGTGATAATAAGTAGTTTTTTAGTGGGTGTAAAGGAAAATTAGGGAGAGACCGGTCCTCTCGAAAGACCTGGAGCATTTGTATGTTGAAGTTCTTCTGTTTTTATCACTTGGGCATAACAGTTGCGGTGTTCTAATTAAGTTATTCTGAGTAATTTATTTATTCATCTATCTAGTGAATTCTGGATACCTATCACACTCATATGACCCAGTTTGTCTATTTCCCTACAATATATCATCATAATTATAAAATGGTTAAGTTAACTCATTGGATGGTACAAAATGTAACAAAGTATGGACTAAAATACCAAACCTTAAGGGCCAACCATGCAAGCTTTTTAGGGTATGCTTGGATGTCATCAAATTTATTTTCTTTGTGAGTCATTTGGGGGTCAATGAACCCATATACATGATAACGGTTGATTTTACCGTTATTTGGGATTAAATTTGGGTAATAAATGACCCTTTTTGACTGTAGAAGCTTTTGCTTGTTCGTCTTGTTTTTAGCTTATTTTGGTGAATAGAGAGTTGAGGTTATACTTGAAGATTTTATCACTAAATTCCCTTGATTTTGTAGGAAACTGGGATGAATTGGAAGAGGAGTTAAATGTCATGAAGTTGGATCTCAGAAAGGACAGAAAGAGCACCAAAAGAGAAGGCTACTAAAGGTTGCAAAACGCTTGGGTGCCCTCCTCTAGGGCCCTCAGCGCAGGAGTCTCGCATTCACACCTGGGCGCCCTTTCAGGGACGCTGAGCGCCAGTCTTCAAGTAACATTTCACGCCTAGGTGCCCTTCATGGGGCGTTGAGCGCCACTCCTCTCGCAAGCTCTCCTGGGCGCCCTAAGTTGGGGCACTAAGTGGTGTCAACGTTGGCCCATGATCCAATTCAGCTGTATATAAGGACTTGGACGTCCTAGAGGGAGTATCTTTTGACAAAATTGTACACAAATTCAGATTTTTTCCCAACACTCTGGAGCAGAAGTTGATGCGCAAGCTCTCCTATTCGGTTTTTAAGGGTTTTATCTTTCATTCTCTTCCATTGTTCATCTAGTTCCTCCCCATGAAAAGGGGAACTAAATTATATTTGTTGTTAGAGGATGATGTAACACTCTGTGACCTCTCGGTATTGAATCGATTCCAATTTTATTTATGCTTCTTTCATTAATTGTTAGGGTTTTCTTCTTTGCTCTATGCTTGTTAATTTTTAACTCATTCATGACATGATAATTGGTCCGTGATAGTGGACACATAGGAAAACCTAGATATTGGAGAATGCTCCCAAAACAGTATTGCCTAGACATAGAGATATGAGTTTTGGGTTATCTTAAGCTTCTAATCATAATGCAGAATTATTTACTAGTGATACAAGACATTGTGATCTAGTAATTAAGAATAGGTTTTCTTCACCGAGACATCGAGTTTTAAGTAATTTAGAAAGTGATATTAACATTAATGAAGAAGATGAATTCATAATGAAGAAGATGAGTTCATATATGCATGAGAGTAAACTAGGTGAAATCTAATCGCCAACAACATATTCATATCATATTTTCAATATCATCCATTCCTCTTTGTGTTTTCTTCAATTGATCAAAAGTGCATTCATATTTACTTTCTTGTTTTTGCATTCACCATCCTGAAAAGTGTTTTTTTCAGAAGTCTTAATTAGTTATTAATTACAATACTGTTTAGTTGGGGGGGGTCGTGAGTCTCTTGGGAAATGATACTTGGTCTTACCAATTATTATTACTTGATACGATTCGGTACACTTACCGACATCTTAACAATACATCATTAAACCCCATCTTGTTAGTTACACCAAAAATATACCTGAAATTAAGAAATGATCTGATATAAGTAACTTGATAAATAAATTTTATATAAAAACGTTCTCATAAACTTACATCATCCACAACTAAACGAGTTAAAATAATCTCTTCCTCTTCTCCCTCCGTAAGCTCTTTAACATTTGTTGATACAATACAATGGGATCTCAAGCAGTGTCTTCCAAATGTAGTAGCATCCCATGGTACAATCAGTTGGTGCATCTGCAATGATGTTAACAAAGTCGTCTAAACGCACCAGAGGGTCGTCCTCAAATAAATGAGTCTTCTTCGGTGTAGGACTTCCCTATTTTCCTCGTCTGTGGTTACTTGAAAAAATAGTTATGTTCTGACTCATAGAAGTAAAGTTTTAAAATTGAGAGTATATAGTAGGAGTGTTTAACCGTTGGGTCAGATACAACACCAACCAAATGTCTTGGCTAGACGGTGAAGCACTTGAATGCCCGTGCGATAGTGACAAACTCCTCTGTAGCCACAGGAACAAAGGCATCTACTACGACAACTTCATCAGTTTGTGACCTTGACCTCATCTTGTCCTACGCTCATACCATGCACTACATGGCTGGCCTCATAACCTGTTCCACGAGCCACTCAGCATGGGTCCCGGTATGAGAAACATATAGCTGACATGGATGAGTGTTCAGTCCATGTCGTCCCCTAGGGCACCACATTTGAGCAACTTCGTTTGCCGTTTCTACCTTTCAAATTGAATGTTAGGTTATACAAAAAGTAAATTAATAAAAAAAATGATTATTAAGTTTACCTGTAGGAGGCACAATATGGCATTAATATTTCAATCCCATCAACCCACAACAATTTCAAGTCTTCAACTAGTGGCCTAAGATAAACATCTATGTCATTTCCAGGCTGCTTTGGACCAGATATCAACATTGACAACATTATGTACTTTATTTTCCATGCACAATCCAGGAGATAAGTTGTAAAATATCATATAATGGATTGGTACTTAAATTACCCAAAGGGGTTCATTCTATCAGTAGCTAAACTAAACGTAAGATTTCTAAATTCTTGACCAAATTGGGGGAATTCTTGATCAATAATTTTTCATTGCTTTGAATCAGCTGGATGACGAAATAGTCCATCAGTTGTTCTCTCATCCTGCATGTCATCTTAAGGTTTTTAGCGTCTTTCGATTCGCGACAAACGCTTAAGTATGGCCACGAGTGGAAGGTACCAAACTACTTTCAAAGTAGAACCATTATTTTTTGTGTGTACCACTATCTTCACTGTTTTTTTTGACTTGTAATCCTGATAACCCACATTTTGGGCCCTTTGTCAAACCTTCATACTCATTCCTTTATAATATGCAATCATTCGGACATGCATGTATCCGTTTATACTCCATACCCATCAGACAAAGAATTTTTTTTCCATCATAATTACGAGTGGGTAATGTATTTCCATTTAGCAGCATTTCATTCAATAGCGACAGCAATTATGTAAAACTCTTATCAATCCATCCATTGGTCGCCTTTAAATTCATGAGTCTTAACATCGATGACAATTGTGTG